AATCGATTACTGTTTTTTTTAAAAACAAACATATTAAAGATAGAATTAATATGTTAAATTAAATAAATAATTTAATAAAATTAAATAAAATTTTTGTTAAAATTAAGTATTTATTTTTTAAAAATAAATACTTAATTTTTAAATGAGGATTTAAAATTGGGATTGAAGTCTCTGAAGCTTAAATTTTATTCTAGAAATTTTATGATTAATTCATTTAATTCTTAAATTTTCAGTTTTAGATTTTAAACTTCGTAAAGGAAAATTAAAATATTTAAACTATTGTATAACAGCATTTTAATACAAATTGTTGGCCCTTTAGCAAATTTGCCTCATAGGCAATTTGCATTTTTTCTTTAAAATAAATATATTTAGAATGATTAAGTGTGTATAAATATCTGCAATAAGGACAATTATGAGTAAAGCAAATATAACAATTATGATGAAATTAATAGAAATGCATAAAAAAATAATATTGTTAATTAAATAAAATTTGATAAAATAAACTTTTAAAATATATGTACGACATTTTTGTAAACGCAATACTGCAAAACAATAAATGCGAAACGCAGTACTGCAAATACAAATCGTAGTTATGATGCACTATCTTTTTTAACTACTTCATAACAATGAAACAATTCATAGGATTTAACTGCGCTACTCATACTAATTTTCCTATATTGCGAAAGTCATGTTTATGAACACATTTGTTAGGAACTTTTGTTTATGAGCACAACTGTGTCGCAGTTTTCGCTATTATACCCCGATATTCTGCGTTTATGAATAAATCTACAAGTCTTTTCAAATAGATTAAAAATTATATTTGGAAATTTTTGGGATAAACATGAAAGATAATAAGTTTATTTAATTAAACAAATTATCATTATAATTAATTCTATGAAAATTCAGATTAAAAGTACAAATTTACAATTTAAAAGAATTTTTAGAATCATACGTAGTCTTAATTATCTTTAGTATAAATTAAACAAAAAAAAATTTTAATGAAATTTTATTGAAATGAAAACTTTTAAGGAATTGAAAAACTTTTGTAAGGTTTTCTTGAATTCTAAAGAAATTGTAAATTATGTTTTCAGTTTTGTATTCTTTTTTGTTAATTACAAAAAAAATTTATAAAATCTTTAATCACTTTGTTCTTTTCACTTTTAATTTTTTATTGTTTATGCTTGTCAAAGGAATGTAAAACATCAAACACTGAAGCAATACGCATGAAAAACAAACAATTTTCTTTCAATTCAAAAAAAAATTATGGAAATTTCCATACATACATATGTATATTAATTTGCATATATGAGCTTTGTTTGTAATTTTGTAAAACAGAAAAATTCACTCTTGCAATAATCATTCTTGATTAAAACAAAAACTCTTGGTTTAATTTTCATATTTAGACGTTTTTGTAAAATAAAAGTCATTAAAAGTGTGTTGAAAATTTTTTAACATAAAATCTTTTCATCTCCCTCTCTCTCTACTTAGGTAAATTTAATTTGTTTTGTTTTTATTCTTGTCTCCCCTGAAGGATATTAGAAATTGTGTGCTTCTAATTTCAAGTGTTTTTCTTGCACGTTACGTGATAGTTCTGATACCAAAATGTAAAATTGAATTTTGATTTTCTTTTTTGTTCCTTATTATTCTCTAATACTTGTACAAAATTAAACATAAGGCATACATAATTGTATTTATTTAACCCATACTTTTAAAATTAAATTTAAGGCTATTAGCAATTGATTTTAATTAAAATTATTGTGGGACGAGAATAAAGAAAATAATAAAACAAACATGTTAAAATGTCAAAAGATCAAAACAAAAAAAAATCTATGTTCACTCTATTTGAATGTTGGATGTGGCATTTATAACTTATGTATATATATATACATACTATATGATATAAATACATGAACATTTTTATATAATTGGTGTATAAAAACGTGGTATGTACATATGATTTTTAGATGAGCAAAAAAACCTTTATAACGGCACTAATTCATAGTTAATTATTTTTTTCACTTCATGTGGATTGTACACCACAGTATTGATGGGGTTTGTACACACATTATAATCGGTATTGCCAGATTTTTTCAGTTTTTTTTAATCAAATTGAAGCTCAATTTGATTTCAAACCACAATTTAAATCTTTAAATTTAAAATTTTTTTTTTTAATTTTTCAAATTTGTTTTGAAAATAAGGTATAATAACACTTTTTGGATGAATCTTAAAAATTTTGAAAAATTAACTGTGCTGTGCAATAATCTAACTCCATCTAATCTAACGTTCTTTGAATGCATTTTGGAAAATAGTCTTAATTCCGCATCTTTAACAGCAAGCACAATTATATCCAACAAATAGAAACTAAATCTGGCATATTTGAAGAAAATTTTCAATGTTTTTTGTAATATTTCTATTGAAATTGAAATCAATTTTTAATAAACAATTAAAAAACGCATGCTAAACTTTGTTACAATCTTAAATTTTCTATAGTCATTGTTTTCCAACAAAAAAAAATTAAATTTGATTTTAGAAGGTTCATCTGGCAAAGATAAAATTTTTGTATTTAGTGTAGGTGTAGAAAATGTGGGAAAATAAAGTTGCCATGACGACTTTTTTGATTTTCATTGTTGTTTTTTTTTTCATTAAAAATTTGAACAAGAGTTTTGATTAAATAAAGGGTTATAAAAATATTTTGCATTTGCTTATTTTTGTTGTTGTTGTTCATTTTATCATAGATTCTCAATTTTTTTTCAATTATTTTTATTTTATTTTTCTTCTTTCTTTGTTAAAATGTTTAAGAAAAAGTATAATTGTACCTACATACATATTTAGTGATAGTGAATTGTTTCTAGAACAATATAGCTAACAATAATAAGTAATTTTAATAAAATATTTATGAAATATTTAAAAGTGTTATATCTACTATAAATTCATGTTATACGCTTACATTATTATATATACATGTGTATATATCTATTGTAATTGTTAAATGTAGTGTAATTGAAAATAAGTTAATAGTTATAAAATTAATTAGACATGGGGGGGGGGGGGGGGGGGGGAGGGGTTTCAACACAGTTGCTATATGATTAAGAACAACATAGTATGCAGACATTTATTTTGTATTAGACTTCCGAAATTTAAAAATTAACTGATTTGTTTTAAATAAAAGTTAATTAAATATTTACAAGCCTGTATGCAAAAATAAATTTTAATTCAAACTTCATATAAATGTAAGGGCAGCTGTTGTTTAGCAATTTTTTTTCAATTCAATTAGAACTTAATTAATAATCACAAATATTTGACTAATTTTTTACTAAAACTTTCAAATTATAAATGATATACAATCTGACGTAAATTTTACTGAAAAAATAGATTTTGACTTTAAAGTCATAAATTGTTTACATACATTCGAGTATGTACATACATACATATGTGTATATTAACAGATAAATGTACAATATCATAATGAATATAAATTGTCATGGGAAAATTGTTTGACTTAGTGTTTTCTGTTTAATTTATTTTAAAATATAACAGTATTATTATTCATTTCATCCGCAGGATATTAATATACTTGTTAAAATAAATAAATTTTTAATAAGGATTATTCAAATATGTGTATGTACATGTACATATGCTCATATATTAATGCTTATTATATGTATACGTTATGTCAAATGTTATTATCGATTAATATTTGATTAATTAAATATACAATTATTAAATGTTTTAAATGTTTTTGTATCAAATATTTAAACGAAATTTCAACATGTATGCTGAATTTTTTCCCAATAACAGGATATATTATATAATTCGTTTGTATTTTCCATATACTTAATTAATAATAAATTTTAAATGTTTTAATTATTATTATTTATTTTATAATATAAAATATGTACAGTATCTACTTATAATGTATAAATTATGTGAATTTGTTTTATAACAATGATAACATACAAAAGGTTGATTTTAGTGGCAATTCTCTCTTAATACAAAATTTAACCAATATGAAGAGTTTTACAATACGATATTAAAACAACAAAATTTATATAAAATTGGAAATTTAAAAATGATATTCATTTTAACCATTAATTACATAAATTAATAATGAATATTTATTTACATTATATTTAGCATACATACATATCCGTACACACCTTCACATACATATATGCATTAATGTTAATTGCAAATTCTTTATTTGATTTTTAATTCGTTACTGTCACAAATTTTATTACGTTGCTCAAATTCATTTGTACATCAAATAAATTCATAAGATTTTATACTGCCCGTCCGGTCTGATTAATTAATTTTAAGTCGGATAAAATTAATTTAAATAACTAAAAGATAATAAAGATAAAAATTCAAATAAAAAGTTACCAACAAAAAAATAAAATGGCAAAACAATCAAATCCTTTATACCATGCTCTAAGGTTTTGGATAAATCCATTTTATTCTATTTTTTATTTATGTGAAGAAGGAGTTCATTTCTAAGTCCAAATAAAACAATATTACCAATTAAGTGTTTTCATCTTTTGGTGTTGAATCTATTATTGAAGTTGTGATGATTATTTAAAAATTTCCATGCCGTTTTCTGTTAATTTCGGCAACATCAACCCTTTTTTCTTCTACAATAAGATTTAACGACTTCTCCTTTTCTTTTTTTTTGCGATTTATTATTTTATTAGCATCTATAAATATAAATTTCTCCCAGATATATAAATTGTAACTAAATTAATATACGTAATGTTCATGACACAAAAAATAAAAAACAAAACCAATATAAGAAATAAAAATAGAATTGTTCGCATGAATGATTCATCAAATTTTTAATGTTGAATGTCATCATAAATTATCTTTTAACGATTTTAATTATAAATATCGTTCATTGTATATTTTTATAATAATATTTAGGTATACTTGTGCATATATAAATTCTGCCTTTTTATTTATTCAATTGAAATTCATTAACATTTTTTTTCATTTTTTTTTTGTTACAGGATGTACGTACAGCATGGCCTCTAAATACAATACCACCACAACATCCAAGTTTATCACATTTACCACATCATTTATCAATTGGATCACATGTGGTAACACAATCTCATCAACTTCCAGCATCTCATGCAGTTTCATCAGCAGTTAGTTTATCGACAATTGGTGGTCCCGGTAGTGGTGGTATACCAACATCAATTGTACATCAACAACAGCGTACATCACCGAATCCACCTCCATCTTCAATGCAAAAACCAACTTCTTTAACATCGTCTTCAAATTCATCATCATCTTTAAGTGTTTTGCATTCACAGCAACAACAACAACAACAGCAGCAACAACAACAGCAACAACAATCTTCAGCATCACAATCACAACATCATTCACATCAACAACAACATCATCATCAACAGCAATCACAACAACAACAATCGTCTTCTCAATCCTCGCATAATTCATCGAATAGTAATAATTCATTAAATGCTGTTGCCGATGAACAACGAAGACGTATGGTTGAATGGAATGAACGTGAACAACGTGAAAGGCGTGAACGTGAACGTGAAAGAGAACGTGAACGTGAAAGGGAACGTGAACGTGAAAGAGAACGAGAACGTGAAAGAGAACGTGAACGTGAGAGAGGACGTGAAAAAGAACATGAATTAGATAGACTGAGACAACAAGATCAACAGAGGGCAGCTTATTATGGATCTAGCATTATTGGAGTAAGTTAATCATGTTTATTTTAATTTTGTTTTTAAATAATGTTTCGATTAAGTTCTTACCCCATTTGCTTTAAAATATTATTTTGATAAAGTGTTCAACCGTTCATAGAACTATGCCTGCATTGTTTTTACATAATGAAAATCTTGTTACACGACAACACTGTCACGAAAATTCATTACATTATTTTGATGATATTTGAAAGTAGAGATTTCTTGAACAATATTCAGTTAATATCCAACTTAATTAAATGATTAAATAAATAAAATTTTAAATTATTTTCATTTTTTCAATTAAGTGTTTTTCATCAAATCGTCACATTCATTGCCTTCACTTTACTTTTTGTTGTTATCAAATTTGTCAATATTTAATTGGCATTTTCTTTTCTAATTTATTTCGCGAGGGCACAATATAATATTTTGTTGCCTTGGAGAAAAACCAAATATTTTTTACAATTATTAAACAAAATTCTAATGAAAATCTTTTTCACTCTTCTTCCCTTATTATTGTTAACTAAGTTTTACACTCTCTCTTAATATTAAAATACAAAAAAAATAAAAAAAATCTACGTTAATTTATAATAATTTAGCGGAAGAAAAAAAGAGGAACTAAAAATAAAAATAATGAAAAGTTTTTAATTTCATTCAAAATTTTTAAAAAAGGAAACCCGCTGGTTATTTTCTAAAAATTGCCAAAAAAAAAATAAAAATTGGAAATTTTTGTTTTGAAGGGAAAAAGAAATTAATTTTAATTTTTTCCTGATTTGAAAAAAATAATCGAAATGGTGTTTGTTGAAAAGCACATTTCCCATTATTTATTACCTGCTTGCTGCTACTTATCGTTGGTGCTAAGTAATAAACTAAATTATATTTTGAATCTCTTAGAGAAGAATTACAAAGCATTACAAAACTTTCGAATTACAAAGCAATTTATAATAATTCCTTTTTTAAACTTTTAATGGTTTGAATAAATTTTGTAACGACACATTCTTTTTCGAAAAAATTTGATTTTGAAATTAAAAGTAGTCAATTGTTGCCATTCTACCTCAAAAATAAACGTTCAAATACTTATCTTACATTTAGTTTAAAATTTACAAAAAGAATTCTGGATTTCTAATCTTATTATTGGAGAGGGGAGGAGGGCGAGATATTATTTGAGAATATTATGTAAATTTTAGTATAAAATGGAAAGCATTTGACAAGAAAATATTGAAAACAGACAATTCCATTGGGATTAAATCGTTTAAGTTTAAACCCTAAAGCTAAATTAATAACAACATATTTTTCAAGATTTTTTTTGTAATTTCGAAAATTTGCTAACTAAGGAAAACCGTATTTATACCAATAATATAAAAATATTTTCTATGTATAATGTTTACCAATAATTTTTTGTTTTACAATTATTTATCCTTGATTTCATTACAGCTTATAATAAAAACCTACCTTAAAAACAAAAACAAAAAAAGAATACAATAAAAGTTACAAGAATTTTTTCCAAAAATTGTTTTTTTTTCTTATTTTGTGTTGTTGTCTCCTTCCAAATATTTCCGATTATTTTTAATGATATTTCCGCCTACATAAAAACCTTCAAAATGTTTTTTTGGTTTAAATAGTATTTTGCAGATCTTTAATACAACATTCTTATTTAATATTATTACAAAACGAAATAAAAAAAAATCAATTTAAAATATTAAGGATAATTTGTCCTTTTTATTTAACACAAAAATAAAAATAAGATTTAAATAAAATCTAGAAAGGTCTTTTTATATAATTTCATTTTAACTCGGGTTGTTTCCTTTCTTGTACTCATATACATTTTTGGTTCATCATTAAGAATGTTTCAATAATTCAATTTTAATTTGTGTGTTAATAATAAAATTTTCTATACACGTACATATAAAAATTTTACTATAAAATAATTATCAAAATTATTTATAGTAATTTTGCTATTTAAATTTCCCATTTTTATAATTTGCCCCATTCAATTAATATAGATTATAAAATATTATGATTATTATCGAGGTAAACATGCAAGTTCAAGGATTCTGTTTTCTGGTATGGCATGGAAAAGTCTCTATTCAAAGTGAATAGTTAATTGAAACAAAAATATTTTATAAGAAATTTGTTAACAATATTTAGATTATTTAAAACTATTATTTGTTAGTTATAGAGTTAGGCAAATATAGAATTAGTAATTGCTATGCAGGATGAATCTGTAACGTAGTATAATCTGTCGGGAGCAAGAAGGTGCGAAACAATTTTATGAAAAAATTTGGGCGGGATGTGGCAAGTGAATATTTAACTCACAAAATTTCAGTTGAAAATATTTGGTTTCAACAAAAAGGTTTATCGACTTAAATGGCTATAACTTTCATAATTATTAACCGATTTAAGATAAAATTAATATGCAATGGAAAGCTAAAAAGTAGCTCTGTATAATAGTATAAAACTTGTATTAAATTTTGTGTTGATTGAACAAAAGGGACCCTGCCATGATTTTAATTTGAATTTGTGTAAAATTACTGTGTGTAAGTGCATATTTTATGAATTCGGAAAATACCTTCAATTTGTTATTACCAAATGTCGTAATAGATTGAATGTGTCTCCTCATATATGACAATATTAATAATAGGAGGCAATAAACAAGCAATATTTTCAAAATTTTATATTACACACGATTATGAAAGCAAAATTACAAAATAATTTTAAGAAACTCTATTTAATAATTTTTTTTATTTTTTTTAATATAATTACGATGATTGCCAATTAGTAATCACATTCACTGAACACAAGAATTCACATTTCTTTAAAAATTTCAAAATAAATACAATTTTAATTCATTTAAATTAATAGAATGCCAAAAGAAATCTGCTTTTAAAATTAAAGAAAACGCAAAGAAAGAAAACTTTTTCTCTTTTTAATTATTATTTTTTTTTTCACTAATTACATCTTATTTGCATAAGTTTAAATTTAATTTTTATTTTATTTTATGTAAAAGGTACAGAATGAAAAGGATTAAAAAAAAAATTCTTAGAATCTTATGTTTTTTTTTTTTTTCTTTTAAAGGAAAAAAACATCCTGAATACGACAAGCAGTTAGTGTGTATTCAAAAGGAATTTTAAAATATGTACTATAATTTCTTACTGTTATACAATATACAAGAATATAACATTTATATTATTCCTTTTAATATTATACGGTATAGATTTATTAAATAGTGAACATTGAGCTGTTAAAAAAGGAAACAAAAAAAATACAGTAGAAATTGTATAAAAGGGATTTAATTATTGTTAAAAAAAATTAAAACATATTTAGATATACATACATATATACATATAATATACAATAATCTTTTTGTCCTTTACGATTTATTCATCCATTTTTATTGAATTATGAGCAGTAATAAAATGGTTTTCTTCATCTTATTTCGGTCTAAAAGAATGAGATTATTAAAATATTTCGAAAAAAGAAAATGTTATCCTATTTATCTTTATGTACATATGTGCGCATAAGTATGTATGTGTAATTAAAGTTCATTAATAAATGTCCTTCAGCTTTAATATCCTTAACTTCTTATATAACATTATTGTGCAAATCTTTAAATATTGTTTTTTGTTATATTTTTGTATTAAAGTTGAAATGAAAAATAAAAATTTATTTTTTATTTTTTTTTGTTATCCTCTTTAAAGGAATAATAAACAGGGGAAAAAAATATTCGAATTTTCTGCTTTCTTCATTATATTTTGTTTTTTAATGTAATTTTGTTTTATATATAAAAAAAAATATTGAATAAAACCACCCAATGTAAAAATTACAAACCATTAAAAGTGAAAAAAAAAAAATTTCTCCCCAAAATTTCATATCAGTTAAAAATCGATGTATTTGTATCCCAATTTCAAATATATATGTTATATATATTGTGTTTATCTTTATATATGTATATATACGTAATAAAATGTACATAATTTAAAAAAAAAGGTCCCAAAATTTATTTATATATAATTATGAAGTTGCCGGCATAATAATAGCGCTTGCGTCATGATTTTTATTATACACAAACAAAACGCATTGATTTTTTTTGTTTTTTTTATTTTTTCTTATTAGTTTAAGTATATACTAAAGTTAAAATTGATATTTTATCCTGAAAAACAACAGTAGAGTATAGAAATAATATGATAATATTTTAGGTATGTGATAATTTTATATTGTGGGACGGGTAATAAGTAGGTATTTTATAAAAAAATTTATATTTAGCGTATTTTAATGCTAAAGGAACCTTAAATTGTTTTGGCGTGAGAGTGTAACGAGCTAGTCTTTTACCAATGAACCTAATATGAGTTACAAATATGTGTAACTGATTTTTAAAATTTATTTATTGAAAGGGAAAATTTATTTAATTTAGAACTATTTAATTTAGAACTTTATACTAGTTTGAAATTATTGTAATTTTTTTCTTAACTATGACAAATTTAACAGTTTAGAGCATTTTATATTAAATTTTGTGTCTTAACATCATTACTATTACTATTTAAATAAAAACAAACTGTAATTTTTAAGAAAATATTATGAAATTTCTCTCGATAACAAATTCTCATTCACTGTATATGTTATTATTATGTTATTGTTTTTATATCCTCAATTTTCTCTTTCTCCTTTTTCAGTTGTCCTTTTATATTATTTTGCTCTGCCTGTTTATAATAATATTGCTATTTTACTGTGATGACAGATATAATAGGATTTATATAATATATGTATATAGGTGTATATATATACGTACATAAATATCTACATACGGGTGACATTTATGCAAATATTTTTGTATAGCTGAGATTTGCCTAAAACAAATTACATTTAAAAAACATAAAAATTATATATGTTTGTACTTATGTATATAATTATGTCGGTATGTTTCTTTTTCGAAATTCTGTCTACTATTAAATTTATTTACTTTGTTTTTAACAGAGAAAATAAAAAATTTTCTACTTTTATATAAAAAATTATAT